GGTCGCGGGGGGCGCCGGCCGAGCCGGCCGGGCCCTGGAGCGGCCGGCGGGGCGGGCGGCGCTCGCGCTCCGCGGCGGCCTCCGCTCGGCTCGCGGCTCCGAGGCGGCGGCTGCGGCGGCGGCACCAGCAGCGGCGGCCGCCGGCCGGGAAAGGGACAGCGGCGGCGGCGGCGGCGAAGAAGGAGGAGGAGGAGGAGGAGAAGGAGGAGGAGGAGGAGGAAACCCGGAAAAGGGGCCGCGCTCACTAGGAGCGGCCGCCACCCGGCCCGGGGCCGCCCAGCCTCACAGCGCCCCCTGCAGCGCGGGGGGACCGGCCGGGCGGCGCCGGCCCCGCCTCCGGCCCCGCCCCCGCCCCGGCCGCCCGCCTCCCGGAGCAGCCCTCTCAGAGCTGCCCTGCCGAGGTGCTGCGAGGGGCGCCCGCCACAGGGCCTCCCTCAGCAGCTGACGGCTGCCTTGAGCCTTATCCCTCGAGGGCGCTTTCAGGATTCTCCTGGAGACCCCTACCTCAAGCCCTCCACCCTCTCGTCATGCAGAGTTTACCCGCCCCATACTGACCCCGTTCTGACCCTCCCGTCAACCAACCCGTCCCCATCAGGTCTCTCCCGATGACTCACTCTTACCACTGAGAACATCCCTCACCTCAAGATTTCTTCTTCCCTCCCGGAGACACCTCCTCTTTCTCTGATGGATCCTGCCCTATCACCCAGGATTCCTCAACCTCAAGACTCCCCCTTCTCCCTTCAACCAGAGCCTTTCTTCCTCACAAAATCCCTCTCTTACACGAGCCCCTAATTCCCTTCCAGAGCCTTCCCCGAGAACCCACCGAATGCTTACTTCTGTCACTTGGTTAAGCTGGAGTGGGCCAGGTAGCTCCTTGTAAAGTTCCCGTTCTTCACTCTGTAATTAATAAGCGGTATGTGCGGAGACACTGAGACTATGAACATGTCCTGTTTTGGGGGGAAGGACAGAGCAGAAGAATAGTGAGTCCTGCCTGAAGGGACCTGCGAGCGGTTGGGCATGGACGGAGGGTGAGGTTGACCAGGCAAACTTTGTCCTATTTTATCAGGTTGCTTTTTAGCTCCTGACCTTCTTCTCTCTTTGATCTTCTGGACCTTTCCTTTGTCTTGCTTTCCCCTTCCACATCCTTTATCAACAGCACTTCCCACTGGAGCTCTGACTCCACTCCTCTTTTATATTCTGTTTTCTAGGTGGAACCTGGCTTCTCCTTATGGTTAAGAGCATAGACTGTAGAGTCAGATCCACCCCGGTTGAATCCTAGCTGTGCTGCTTATAAACTGTGTGACCTTGGGCAGATAACTTAACCTCTCTGTGCTGCAGATTTTACAGCATAAAAGCAGTAATGGCCTTCTTCTCAGGGCTATGGGGAGACTTGGACAAGGTAAACCATGTAAAACACTTAAAACAGTGTCCAGCAGTTACCAGGTGCTCAGTACCATTGTTAGCAGATCCAGAGACTTTTTCATATCACTTTTCCCTCCCTGAGACCACCACATGCCCAGCTTTTGGTTCCTTCCATCCTCCAAGTTTGGCCATGGTTGCCTCCAATCCCTCCATCCCCACCTTCCCATGCCTGCCTTCTTTTTCCTCCTCAAGTCTCAAATTTAAGGCTCATTTTATTTACTTGGATGTAGATTATATCTAGTTGTAAACATGGAACAACATGAGTTCAAGGTCCTCCTACTCCGACATCTTCCCAAGCAGTCTTTAAGTTCATTTTATAATTAAATTTTTTTTTTATTATTTTGGGGCACCTGGCTGACTCTGTTGTTAGGCATCTGCCTTTGGCTCAGGTCATGGTCCCAGGGTCCTGGCATCGAGCCCCGCATCAGGCTCCCTGCTCAACAGGAAGCCTGCTTCTCCCTCTCCCACTCCCCCTGCTTGTGTTCCCTCTCTCGCTGTGTCTCTCTATGTCAAATAAATAAATACAATCTTAAAAATTTTTATTATTTCTTAAAGGATTTTTTTTTAAGGGGCACCCAGCTGGCTTATTTGGAAGAGCATGTCACTCAGTCTTGGGGTTGTGAGTTTGAGCCCCACGTTTGGTGTAGAGATTACTAAAAAAATAATAATAAATTTAAAAAACCCTTTAAAAACAAAAAGGATTGATTTATCTATTTGAGGAAGGGAAGGAGCAGAAGGGAGCGGGAGTGGGAGAATCTTAAGCTAACTCCTGACTGAGTGCAGAGCCCAAAATTGGGCTTGATCTCACAGCCCTGAGGCCATGACCGGAGCTAAAATCAAATGTGGGATGCTCAAGCGCTAGGCCACCCAGGTGCCCCATATTAAAAACAAAAAAATAATGGATTTTCTATTTAAATCTGTAATTTTTATTAAAGGTAAACTCTACACCCAATATGGGGCTTCAACTCACAACCCCAAAATCAAGAGTCGCGTCTCTATGAACTGAGCCAACCAGCCAGGCACCCCTTTAAGTTCACTTTAAATGGCAGAGTTGATACTTCTCTATCTCAGCATTCTATCCTTCAGAAAGCTACATATTTTGTAATTGTAATTCTCTCTCCTCCAGTGTAAAAACAGCATCAGAGCAAGGACTGAATCTGAATGCTCACCACTGGCTCACCAGCATTTGCCACATTTAGAGGCTTTCAGCAAATACGGTGTTACCCCACAGATCACTCACTGATTAGAAAGTGGAGGTCACTGCTGTAACCACGAGTCAAATTTAACATCATCAATAAAGGACCAACGGACCCTGTGAAGTGATGCACCAAGAAGGGACAAGGCATCTGCCCAAAATGCTTAACTTGAATCTCATTATGAGGACACAATCAGACAAACCCAAACAGGGAAATATTCTGCAAAACAGCAAAGTCTGGGATTCTTCGAAACTGTCAGTGTCACAAGAGAAAACAACACAGAAGAAAACAAAACTCTGGAACAGTGTTCTTGATTAAAGGAGCCTGAGAGAGAAAGCTCTGTAATTCTACGTCCCATCCTGAATGAGAAAGGTAGGAAGTAAAGGAGGGAGGGAGTGAGGAAGGGAAGGAGAAATACAGCCAAAAGGACCCTAATGAATGGGACTCCTGGGGCAATTTGAATATAGGATGTACATTACATAATAGTATTGCATCAGTGTTAAATTTTGTGAGTCTGAGGGTTATCTTGTGGTTATGAAGGAAAGTCTCTTGATCTTAGGAGTTACATGCCAAGTGTTTAAGGATGAAGTATCATAATATCTGCAACTTCTTCTCAAATGGTTCTCCAGAGAAACGTGGGTTCCCTAGGGCCCAAGCATACATGGGGAGAGGGGAGCAATTAGGGCAGAAACGTTGATAGTTGTAGAATATAGTTGAAGACTACATGAGACCACAACTTTTTAGTACATTTGAAATTTTCAAAACAAAAGCTGGAAGAAGATAAATAAAGCATTTATAGAGTAAGTGCACTTTGGAATTTAAGTCCAAAACCTCTAAACCTCTCTCCATGCAAGAAGGCACAAACATTCTCCAGCTCTTAATGCCACATTTGGATTTTTTTTGACAAGTCCCTGTGAACTAGTCTAGGCCAGAGGTTTTAATCCGGAGCCCTTGAATGAGCTTCCTGGGTCCAGGAATCCATCACGCAGTAGGCAAAACGTGTGGGTCACTGCATATGCGTGTGTGTGTACATGTGTGCACCCAAAAATGGTTCCAAACCCCTGGTCTGACTACTAGGTCCAACCCCAGTGGGGGTCCCATTCCTCACCTCCACCCCTTTCCATGTCTGACCCCACACATCCTCTCTGCACCTTCCTCTCATCCCTCAACACCTAACCCACACCCATCTCACGTAACCTGCTCTCACACTTGTTGGGATGCCAAGGATTCACCCACACATCACTCTGGTGCAACACACTCCTGGATTTGGCTGGCACTTCACTAACTCAGCCCCGAAACCTGCACTCAGTCCTCCCACAGCCACACTGAGTATGTTTTTATGATGTGTTGGTGGGTAGGTTGGGCTCCTTATGGCCTTGGTGGAGACCCACCACCTCTCCTTCCTGCCAGCCCACCATACAGTGTATGAATTAAGATTGGCAGTTGGGGATGGTACCAATGCAGTCCTCACTGGAGTAAGTCACATCAGGAATTGGAGAGGGACAGGCCAGTAGCTCTGCAGGGTTGGGTGACAGTGAACCATAATTGATTTCCCCTAATTACTATGTGTGTGTGGGTTTAGGGGTGAGTACAATCCAGGATTACACAAGGGAGAATGAAAGAGAGCATCTTGGGTCAAATAGGTCAACAATTTCATACCAACTCTTATGCTCCCAAATTCTATCTAAACACACACACACACACACACACATGCCACAAAAATGTAAAACCCTCAGAAGAATACCTTCTAGCTTCACAAGGTCTATTTCTAAAACATTTGAGAGAATTCAGGCTTTTATCTTATATGGCTGTTTCTAAGAACTTAGCCTAAGAAAATA